TTAACGTTAGTTACGTTAGTTTATTATTATATATATATATATTATATTACTAGTATATATATATATATATATATATAGTGTGTGTGTGTGTGTGTGTAGTGTGTGTGTGTGTGTGTGTAGTATATATATATATATATATATATATATATATATATATATATATATATATATTTATATGAATATATCTATTTATATGAATGTAGACATACATTGATTTATAATAATGCACGTACATTCTGGGCAACGATGTAAATGCATAGGCAAGAAGTACTTGTACCAGATACAGATTTCCGTCTCACGGTCTCATGTGTACCATCAATCTCGTCGGCTATTTGGCACTTTAATATGAATACAAATTATATACCCTGTATGCTACCAAAGGGGACATTTCGAGAAATAGGCCGTACAAGTTTGTGCAGCTGTCTTGATCTGCTGTAGGTAACATATTAAGTAGTCCCTAATCCAGACGAGCGGTAGGTATTCACCGCAAATAAGGCGCTGAAGTCATCGCCGTTCTTAGTTCTAGTTTTATTAAAGTTGGAACTCAATAGATATGCCGACCACACACATATGATATGCAGCTGCGATCGATTGTTAGTGTAAACCATGCTGGTTGTCATGTATCCGCTGGTTGTATGATACCAATTATTCTGCGTCTTATGCACGTTCACAGACGTATTGTGATTAGTACAGGTAGATATTTGTGCCTATCAATGCCTATCTGTATCGCTATGAGCAGTGTTCGTAGCCTATCATAGTCGCATGTTGCTCTCTCTATTTGAATTTATGTTCATGAATTCTGGTCAGTATACCAATTGTATCATACGCACCCGAAACAAACAATGAAATGAAAAGTGTACACCTCTACACACGTAGGGCGTTTGGCAGCGTGCGCGAAAGAAGCTATCTCCCGCTAAAGGCGCTCAGATCCCAAGGTACAAGGCAGCCAGCGCGTGGGGCCATGCGTATACAACCAGAATCCTTGCACTTCTGTCAGGTACGTTGAGGGGAGAGTATATGATGATGTGTTGGTGCACTGGTATTATACCCGGAAGATGGTGCGCAACCGACCAGGATCAAGGCAGTTAGTGCATGGGATTGTTTGTGCATGAATAACATGCCCACAAATCGAAACAACAGAGTTACAATCTTGGGTACCCACGAATTGAATATTTGAATATTTGTCGGTGTGGGGCGATGCAACCCCTCGTGAGGCTACCGGCTTTGGGTGATATGCGTTTACAAACGCGGGTGGTTTCTATAGTTACTTATGATCAATTGAATCGAGTGCGCTCCTGGAAGTGTCGCGAATACATGTTGGTCTACCTATCAGACACGATGGGAACTCAGGTTGAATCGTTCACACGCCTACACTTTCCAATCCAAGCTCACTGGAGGACCTCGTGGTGCGTGAGACTCATATTCACCTAGTAAACCCCGCTGAGGTACGGTCATCATCCCAACGTTTACAGTGATGTTCGGCACCTACTTGCCCGCAAATCTCATACTGGTAGCGACCGGTATTTGGCCGTAGTCACGCCATCTTCAGATGGTACCTATTCACACGACGAACGCGATATATACTTATCAACGTCTTACCGCAACTGTGCTATGGCTTACGTAGTACTTGTGAGTGAAGTGTGTTCATATCTTGTGGACATCGGGTGCTGCTTTTAACACTTTGTTTCATTTATTCACTTACAATTGCAGACAAATACCGGCCACTTGTAACAGCTATATACGCAGTCGTATGCGGAATCCTAGTCTATGTGATGTTTGCGGCCAACAACTACCTGGCTGACACCGAATTGGGACCCCCACAGTCACTGTCTTGCGACAGCTACGAATGGGGCAGTGCACGCTCATGTGGCGTGGCGGGTGTGAACTGTGAGCCGTTTCTCAGTGACACCTTCACGCCGTACAGATGTCCACCGTGGTGCGGTGGGAAGACTGGGGCCTGGTATGGACGCCATCTATTGTGCGACTGTCAATGGGCTAGTTGTGCTTGTTGGCTGGGTATAGTATTCGTCTAAACGCATGCATTGTTACTTACTTCACTTACTTCACACTTTTTATGCATGCCCTGTGGTTGCTATGTAACTGGGGTTGTGAACACGCGTGTGGTGTGGTGAGTGTGCACTGTGAGCTGTACGGAGTTAGGATTGTAATTTGAGAGAGGACGAGACATTGAACTGTGAATCTGGTCAAGATACGTTTATATATATTATTGTCCTATCGACAGTCATAGAAGTGCTAAGCGATTTGTGAGTCTCAATAGTGAGAATTGTGACTGCTCTATGACAATCAACTCATAAGGACCTCAGTCTCTTTTATATAGATACAGTGATAGCATGCCTTTTGCTTCATCAATAGGCCGACCACATACGAATTACAGATCCACCTCGCGTTTGGCTCCTATGCAAGCCCTATGTGACTCATAGATAACTTTGCATCGTGTGTATCTGATATATTCTGGTTGTATTATTATTCAACCTGATGTTACTGCACCTCATCTTCACAGGTATGTTGTGGGCAATAACCCCTTCTACCGCGCCGACAGTCGCATATGCTTAGCAGCCGTGCATTCGGGAGTTATATCAAATGCTAGGGGAGGCTGTGTTCGATACCGACAGACTGGACCCAGTGCAACATACAATTCATCCTGTATGTGGACTGTATATATTTGTCGATATTGATTTTGATGGAATCTCACTGTGCCGACATCGCAAACTATATTAATTGTTAGTGGAAGGTGTGTCCAATACCGGCAGCCAACCCCGAGTGCACCGTACATTTTACTCTGTATATGGACTGTATATCTGTATTCATATGGATATCTGATAGATTTGCATGTGCTTTGACCCCCTTTTCATTGTGCCGATAATCGCAACCAATGCCACACGTCGGGATAAGGTGTGTCCGATACCGGCAGATGTCCCATTCGTCATTTTTTGGAACTGTTTGTAATAGCAGTTGCCTGGAGTCACATGTGGCTGAGCAGTGTCGTTTACCTAAATATTAGCCGTACACGCAAGGCCACTGTGCATTCACATATCACAACAAAACTCGAGAGGAGGGTATGTCGGATACATATAGACCGGACCCAGTACGTGCAAAAATGTATCCTGTATGTAGAATTGATCTCTATACAATCTCAGTGTTTAAATGCTGTCACGTGTGCGAGTTGCGCCAGATATGGTCGATTATATTGTAGTATAACTGTTGATTTCTTAGTACACTTGTGTTTCTAAGCTATAGATAAACCCCACATGCTAGCAACTCGCCACAAATCATCCATACGATCAACAGACCTGCAGACAAAGCATCACTCAATACGCTTTATGCGGTTGGCTGCGTAGGCCTAGAGCAAATCACATAGGAGATCCGGTGGTGTGCAAGAAGACTCGCGCGTGCTACTTGTGTGGTCAATCAAGATACTGCCTATAAATATATATCTATATAGATATAGATATATATATAGATGTATATATATATATATATATATATATATATATATATATTTATATATATATATATATATATATATTTATATATTTATGTATATATATATATACATGTATATATATATATATTATGTATATATATATATATATAATATTATNTAATATNTATATATATNTATATATATNTATATATNATANTATANTANATAATTATTAA